TTGATGCTCTTAGAAAGGAGGAGACAGAGTGAGGCTGGCTAGATTGATTCTTTTCTTTGTTTCTTTGAGGATATGTGAAGTACAAAACAATTGGGGTTGAGGGGGGGGGTAAAGAAAGTTGGAATGAAGAAACAGAATGCTTATAAGTATATAATTGACTAATTTGAGCCCAAAACTAAAGCATTCAGATTCTACAAGCTATGTAATATGTGTTCATATCTAATATGCCTTTGTTGCAGGAAAAGGTAAATTAAGTCCATTAACTTTCCTGGGCCACTTTGAAATAAATACATTTTCTTCTAAGCAATTCAAAGAGTGAAAGTGATCTGATTTGCTTCACTGAAGCAAGGAGACCACCCTGGTTAGCCTTTGATATGGAGGGCTAGCCAAAATACCTGCAGGCTGGGAGGCTTCCAGTCGGGGGGCTGATTAGTCAGCAGGGCTCTGAGGGTGGGTGGTGAGCTGTAGCCCCCCAGCTACGGACCAGCACATGCCAGAAACACTGAATTGAAACTCCTGTTCTGGGATTCCCTGTATTCTGCATGTGGCTCAGGAAACCCATTCATATATGCAAAATGGCCTGATATGCAAATACATTGAACAAAAAGTAAAATAAGTAAACAAAATAAGAACATTGAGCTAAAGTTCCCCTGAAGCAGGTTCAGATGCAGCAAAACAAGTTTCCCAAGACTTGAATGGATGCTTGATTCAGCAATTCTTGATGATCACCTGACCTGGACTGGAAGCTAGACTGGAACGTTTAAAAAAAAAAAAACACCCCTCTGGAAACAGCAGTGCCCAATTCCTTGGTATCCTTGCCAAGGAAGTGACCCAGCCGTGTTCATGCAGTCAGCAAGCATTTCGTTTGAATCGGAGGAGATGCTGACTTGACCAGATGTGGATGTGCTGGTCTTTCAAGAGTGCTTCTTCCACAGACATCAGCAGCATGTCTCGGGGTGGAGGGAGGGTGAGCCTGTTTGCTTTGGGGGCGCATTGTAAGTGAGCTTCTGAATGAGAGGTTGGGCTTAAGATTGCAGGTGCTTTTATGGGGGCCTCACAACTAGAAGGCCAAGTTAATGAGAGCAATTCATGTAAAATCAAGGGTTGTGCTTGGCAGTCCACCATGTCTTTCTTTCCCCAAGGGCCATGTCTGTGGACATTCTCCGTCATCCAGGTCCTGGTTGTCCCAAAGGTGCTTTTTCAGGAGGCAACTGGACTTTCTGTTTCACTATCTTATCCCAGAAGCTTCTTCAGCTCGGACTGGATTGGTGGGGAATGGAAGGATTTATATTCCTTGCATACAGCTGGCCGTTTGCATCCTTTTCGAGAGTCACTGAGGCCACCTGGAGGTTTATCTGTGTCCTCAGGGTCACCTGAGTGGTGCAAATGGGTTTGGAGCCGCCTTGTGCTTTACATGCTGTAAAATACCCTTTCTGCGGCTGTCATAACTGAACCATTGTTAAATAGTGGTCATAAGTCAAGGACTTTGTGTATTTGTTCAGGGATGTGTGTACATTTGTATGTGTGGACAGACCGACCTTTTTACAGTGAAAAGGGGTAACGTTAGCCCTGCACAACGGACTGTGCAGTGTGGGCAGGGCTCAGATCCCTGGGCCTGAGGGAGTGGCTTGGACAGCTTTTGATGCTGGTGTCCAAAAAGACATACTCCCCCCCCCCCCCCCCAATTTGCCCTGCCCAACATTTCTTTGTTTTCGGCTTGTGCAGTTACAAAAACAAACGCTCTTCCGATAGAGTCTCGGGCGAAGGCCGGCTCCCTCCTCTTTTCCGGACTCCCACCCACCCCTGCTCTCATCATGCAGGGCCCTTTGGAAGAAAGGAAGGCAGGAAGGAAGGAAATGCCCCGCTGGAGTTCACATTCCCAGGGCTGATGTGAAGGAGAGTTCAGCAGGATCCCAGGCCTGCCCAGCTAACCTGCCCAGCTCCTCTGGCTGCTCTGCAGAGATGCTTTGATTTGCCTGCTTTTGCCCTGGGGAGCAGCAAGCCGGCTCCTTCCTGGAGGGAATGGTGGCTCCCTGACCCACCTCGAGGGGCTTTTATCAGCAGCCGCTTTCTGCCTTCGGAGGGGTGAGCCTGACTTTTCCCCTCTGCTCTGCAGGGGAGGACACACCACCTTTGTGGGCGTTGATTTTCTTCCCTCTGGGAAACTGGTCTTTCACTTGCGGAGAGCTGGAGGGTCTCAGAGTAGTGGGGTTCTCTTGACCAGGCTTTTTGGAAAGAGTGTGTGTGCGTGTTCAATGGTTTTTATTTACCCCAAGACCACACAGGGATGGGAACAGCCAGTTTTCCAGCCAGAAGATGCTTTTGCATTCGGACTCCCTCCTACAGGTTAGCTCCTCATCCCAGATCAGATATTCCTTCTGAACAATCAACGAGAAACTTAACATTAGTATTTCTGACTCCAAGCAAACTGTGCGTGTGTGTGTGGGTGGGGGGAATAGTTGTGAAATAGTTGTCCTTCAGAAATGGCTCTGGGCTGCCATGCAGCAATCACGCGGAGTTGCCGGGAGATGCTATTCCTCAGAGTTCAGATTTTGAACCATCTGCAGAGGCTGTTTCTGCCACAGGTCCAGTTGGCCTGAGACTCACAACAGAACAGAGGCTGGCAAAACACTTTTGGTCTTCCAGAGACGCTTTAAACAAGGCAGAGTTGAAGGTCTGGTTGTTGCTCCCTCTTGCCCCAGGTTTCTCTTCTGCTGAACTTTGGCCAGTGAGTTTGTGGTGAGTTTGCCTTGGGTTGAGTTGCATTCTGCAGAGCCACGTATTGTCTTAGGGCAGAGGGGGTCTCCAAACTTGGTAACTTTTAAGACTTGTGGACTTCAACTCCCAGAATTCTCCAGCCAGCATAGCATCCTTTCTCTTCCGCACAATCCTGATAAAAACGCATCTCCTTTTACTTCCAAAACTTCTATTAATTGTAGGAATGAAGTCTTAAAGTTGCCAAGGTTGGAGAACCCTGGTCTAGATCCCCAAGGGCTGATCCTGCTAATGTTGCAATATTGGAGGGGGGCAGCTTAACTGAAATCAAATCCCATTGAACTCAGAGAGGATCACTTATACCAAGATAAGTCCTAAGATAAATTGTACTCTAATGGGTAAATTGCCTTTGATAGGCATTGGCATTTTATTAATTAACAGACATAGCCAAGGGCATCGTGGATCCTGGGCATAGGAATAAGGCCCAAATCAGTGCGGGTTTCGTATTAGTTAGTCCTAAAGTGGTCTTGCATTGGCTGAAAAGATGGTGAAGGGTTAATCTGATCCAAAGCTGCTTTGCGGATGCTCTGCTTTATGTAGGTAGTCCTCAACATATGACTTTAACGAAGCAGTCATGTTATGACCAGTGGTGGGATTCATTTTTTTTTTTTTTACTACTGGTTCTGTGGGCATGGCTTTGGTGGGCATGGCTTGGTGGGCCTGGCAGGGGAAGGATCCTGCAAAATCTCCATTCCCTCCCCACCCCACTAACCTGCTTTCCAGCTCCGTTCTCCTGTGCAGGGCAACCAAAGAAGAGCCAGCCGATCAGCTGGGACTCAATGGGAGGCAGAGAATAGATGGGGTTGGCGGGGCCAGTCAGAGGCGGGATTGGCCGGTTTTCCAGACAACTCAAAATTTCCTCTACCGGTTCTCCAGAACTGGACAGAACCTGCTGAATACCACCTCTGGTTACGATGGCTGTTAAGCAACCCCCACAACTTGCTGTCCCTGATGCAGCTGTTAAACAAAAGCATGGGTCATTAAATGAAGCACTGGGTGCCCCGGGGGTGAGGGAAGACTAGCGCAGACCTAGGCCGGCCTGCCCTAACCTCCCCACCCCCAGAGACGCTCCGTGGTCCACTTCCTGCCCCTCAGGGTCCCCACAGCCCTTGGGCCTCAATTTGCCCCCCAACCAGGGACCCCCAAGCCTTAGTCCTGATTGTGACACCCACATACACACACACACATGGCCCCCCTCCCTCCTCCTGACTTACTTCCAAAGAGCTCCGGGGAAGGATCCCGCATCTCTTCGTTCTGCAGCCACATAGCGCAATTGAGGAAATGGCCACCATGTTCCCAGCTCCTAGAATTCAGAGCTCTTCCAAAGATGTGAGGAGGGAACCGAGGGGTGGAAATCAGACCTGGGGGCGGCATCCAGTGAAGGAAGAGGGGGGAGATGGCCGGGATGTGTGCAGGGGTGGGATTCAAATTTTTTAACAACCGGTTCTGTGGGCGTGGCTTAGTTGGTGGGCATAGCTTGATGGTCATGTGACTGGCTGGGCGTGGCCAACTCAATATCACTCACATCGAGGCATGCTTCTCCTTGCCTGGGGCTCTCATGAATGTGGGGATGCTGCAACAGTCGTAAGTGTGAAAAATGGTCATAAGTCACTTTTTTCAGTGCCATTGTAACTTTGAATGGTCACTCCACACAAGCAAAGTACCAGCAAAGGAGGGGAAAAAATACTCCAGAGAAGTTCCACAGACAGGAAGTCTAGTCCTGCCAAGAATGTAATAAGGGTTAATGGAGAGGCAGTTTCTGTAAGCAACACCAGAATGTTTCCTTCCTGCCTTCCTTACAGGATTGGGCCAGTAATTTCTTCTAACAACCGGTTCTCCAAACTGCTTAGAAGGTTAACAACCGGGTCTAGCGAATAGGTGTGAACTGGTAGAATCCCACCCCTGGATGTGTGTGTCCCTGCAGTCAGGCATACAGGTAAACAACCGCATGGGCTCTCCGTGGCCATCACAAACTGCGTCGTAAGTAACTTTGAAACTGCGTCGTAAGTAACTTTGGGGGGGGGAGGTGTCTGGCAACTTCTAAGTTGAGGACTGCCTGTAGTCCAGAGGATATTCACCTGAATCTTTCCTCGCTAACCTGCAATTAACGCCGTTATTTTTGCCCTGCCCTGCTCTCCTTTCCTTTTTTTTTCTGTGAGATTCCCTTGGCAAATGCAAAGAATTGTAAAGAGTTCAGGGCTTTTGCTGCATCGCCCCCTCACCCTTCCTTGGCTTTCTTTCAGACACCAAGGCTCAGGAAGATCCTGCATGGCTGCAGCCGCTGGATTCTCTCGCTCTGCACAACTCCGTGAAGGTAGGAAGCCCCTCTGGGGTCTCTGCAGGGCCAATAGGGATAGTGGGTCCCTTGGGGGAGTCAGCACTCTTCACACAGTTGGCATGCCAGGCTGGCCACTTTGCAAAAAAAACAGCCACGTGCATCCTTGAAGTAGCCAGATGACCTTTCTTTGCCCCTTAGATCCCACGGGTCTCTGAACTTGGCAACTTTAAGACTTGTGGACTTCAACTCCTGGAAGTCCTCAGCCAGCATAGCATCCTTTCTCTTCCGCGCAGTCCTGATAAAAACGCATCTCCTTTTACTTCCAAAACTTCTATTAATTGTAGGAGTCCAAGGCTGGAATGAAAAAGGAAATACTGTTTATATATGAAATCCATTCAGGTCTCAGAACAATTCTTTAAAGTTTTGGAACTCCCAATGCATTTAATAACTGCTTCTAATGGCTAGTCCTGCTTCAGTGATTTTTATCTACCTCGCCCCTGCTTTGTTGATAAAATTATGTATTCCAAGAAATGTGTTGCGATGATTCTAAGGCGTTGTCTGTTCTGTACTTGCTCTGCGTCTTAGGGACATAACTCAGGCACCCTTGCTAAACTGCAGAGAGGTCAGCCTGCTCTGCAAAACTTCCACGACTTTTGCTATCGGCTCTTTTGCATTCCTGAAGTTTTCCCTTCAGGCAATCCTCTGGCCTGAGATTTTACAGGATGTTTAAGGAATGCCGGCATATCCTGTCTCTGAGGGTTGAGGGGAGGAGGCTCCTGGCTGGCGCAGGAATAAGCAGTTTAGCTGGCTGGACTTGGATAGGGGAAGCCCGTATTGTCCAGCTCTACTAGGCTGTGACTTGTGTGTGCAAAGTATCAGCAGGCTCAGTCACTGCCATCATTAGGCTGCACTTCAAAAGAAGAAATCTGGGGACCAAGACTGATGTTTTCTTTCTTTTTTTAAACAAATTTTATTAATTTTCAAAGATAATACACAAACAAACAAAACATAAAATATAAGAACATAAAACATCTTTTCTGAAAGCTGAAAGCTGCTTATTGAGTTTTAACAAAGCAAATAAAACATCTTATTTGAGTACAGCATGGTTCCAGGTTATCACATTTCCATACAGACACAATTTCATATGCATATTCATCTTATGTATTCAACTTCACATCTTATTACTCTTTTTCCAACTTCTCACTATTTCTCCCTTTACTTCTATTCAATTATATTTCTTTTACCTAAATTTCTATATCTTTTTATTCATTGTACTTATACTTTCATCTGTCTTGTTTACAATTTCATATGTTCTCTTCCAACATTCTTCCAAAATTTTATTAATTCTCAATAAACAAACATAGACAAACAAAACACAAAACATGAAAACATAAAACTTCTTTTTGGAAAGCGGCTTAACCCCGGGTTACATCTTTTTGTACAAACATAAATCAAATTCATCCTCACCTTATATACTATTTCATATCTTTTTTAACATTCTATATTTTCTATATGTCTTCTCCCCTCTTTTCACTCTCTTAATTCTATTTTATTTATTTCATCTCAATTTAAATCATTATATTTGTATCTTTTGTCCGTTCTCTTTCAATTATCTATTTATCTTTTCTCTTTAATACAAAATTTCTCCTGTAATCACTGGTTGAAGTGTGATGCCTTTCTATCTTTCCCCTAAATTTAACACTTAAAATAATATATAATTTGCATTCTGATTCTGCTTAGTACATTCTACATACTACATTTTAAAATAAAATAAAAATAAGCTTATAATATAGTAAAAACAATGTTCCATAGCAAATTAAACTCTATTATTAAATCCTAAACTTTTTACACATTCCCTTTAATATTTTATTAACTCATATAATATTCCAATTTTCTAACTCTATTTCAAATACAAATACTACAATACAATCTTATGTACTTTTGCAGAATCTCTTTTTTAATTGTATTTTACCCTTTGTCTCTAAACAAAAACCTGTTTTTTAACATCTTGTTTTAAGCCTTTATAACTTCTCTTCCCTTTTTCCCTTCCTTTCTTGTCGAATCTAGCCTTTTTACCCCCCCCCCTCATCTCTTAAACTCCGCCCTCTTGGTCTCCCCTCTCTGTTGTATTCCTCTTTTCTGTTGCTTTCTGACATTGTATTGATTTTTCACCTTATTGTTCCCTTTCTTGGTTGTTTTTTTAAGTCCTGAATTCTCCATTTTCTTTCCCCTCTTTCCCTTTTCTTCCTCAACTAAAATTGTTTGTCCATTAAAGATGGCTTCTTCTTCATCATCCCAGCTTTCTTGTTGCTGTAATTCCTGGTAGGTAGAAATCACCATTTCTAAGAAGTGAAAAACAGATCCAGAAGAGCCCTTGCCTTCTTGTTCCTCTTCTTTTAGCTTTTTGAATTCCATTTTCCATTATCCATTGAACAGATAATGCCATTGTGAGATTTTTTTAAGCAACTCAAATGTTTTTAGTCTTTCAAAAAATAGTTTCCAAAAGTCCCAAAGTCACCAAGCAATCCAAATCAACACAAACTGTTTCATTTAGCACTTTCTTCTTTTTATACTTTCTCTTCCTGGGGTAGAATTCAATTACACAGTTCCAAAGTGATTTTTTAGAAATCTTATTGCAGTTTGTCTCTGATCTTATAAGCTCCAAGCAGTCTCCTCCAGCAAAATCTTAATATAAGTTCTTTACCTCTCCCTTCCCACTTATAGCAAAAAGATTTTAATTTTTTAATTCCAATGTTCAGAAATCTTTAATGTCCCCTTGGCTTTAATTTTCAAATTTAATTACCTTCTGTTGCCAAAGTGGGTTTTTCCGATTTCCATCTGCTATCTCCGTAGGGAAGGAGAGTGAGAAAAAACAAACTTTCCCTTTTCACTTTCATCTGCCGCTTTTTACAATCTTCTTAGGAAACAATGTATCATTTAAAAAGTTGAATTTCCAGGATATTTAGATATTACTTGTTGTCCCGGTTCAGTCAAAAACTTTCACTTTCTCAACTTCCTCCTGCACATTCTTGTCCGGCTGACCACCGCTCCACCGCCTTTGTGGCGCCCATTGCTGACCACCTCTCCACCGCCTTTGGAAAAGGGAGTTAAGCCGGCTGAGGAGGGGGGTTGCGATACCCCCGGACCCCTGCCCGGATCTCCCCTATCTTCAGTTACCTCTACGGGGTAACTATAGCCTCCAAATCCAACTGGATCGGGGGCACTCCAGCAGCGAGTGCAGCAGGAACCGCGCACAGTCGCGGATTTCTGCCGCCGCCGAAGCCTTGCAAACAGGAACTCCAAGACTGTTGTTTTCAAGGCTGGTTCCAATTCAGCTTCTGCTCCCTGTACGTCTCCTTTCAGAGAAAGAAGCTGCAGTCTTTTTTCTTTTTCAATTTTTTTATTTTACATATACATATCAGTGAGTCAACAGTGTGGCACCTGGGTATCATACATTTTAGTACAAATAGAAATAGTAATATTAATCATATTTGTTACATTCATCAAGCTTATATGGTACTAATGGTAATACACAAGTTTATATTAAGCTATAGTGTTACACTGTTTAATTATTCCATATTTCAGTATATTATTCTAATGCCAATCACAATGTTATTTAAACATAGCTAATAATACCATCATTTAATTTCTAAGCTTCCCTCTTGTTGTTACTTTTATCTTGTTACATAGAAATGTTTATACTAATATTCCCCCTTTTCTCTTATTTCTGTCTCTCTTCTGATTTTTATTCATGCCGTCATTATATGAAAAGACATTTCCTTTCTATCCACCGTCTCTTTCCATTTTAATACTTTAATTCTTGTTCGCTTTTTAACTTACCTCCCATATTTCTCTCTTACACTTATTTGTATTGAGATGCAATTCTTCATTATTTAATTATTCAATGTTTCAATATACAATTCTAATGCCAGTCATAATATTCTTTAAACAGAGATAATATGTATGAAGTGCAATGACAATACAGTAAAGTAAACTAATACTAATTGTATTTGTACATTTATCAAGCCTATATGAACACTTATTTGAACATACCTAATAATACCATCATTCAATCTCTAGTTTTTCCCTTTTATTATTGCTTTTATTATATAAAAATGTATATATTAATATCCTCCTATTCTCTTATTTCTACCTCTATTCTAGTTTTTAATCATGCCACCTTTATATTTTTTTTAAAAAAACCCTTCCCTTTCTATCCATTGTCTCTTTTCTGCTTCAGTACTTCGATTCTTATTCTTTTTTTAACTTGCCTCCCATATTCCTCTGTCGGATCTTTACCTCTATCTGTGTCTGTATCCTGGCTATTCAATCTAGGTACTTCTCCCATCTCTACTCTCATCCACTGCCTAAGTTTCAAACTATCTGCCCAAGCCCCCATCTCCCTTTCAAAAGTATCTTCCTGCATCTCCAGTTCTCTTTTTAACTCTCTTAGAGTATTTCCCCCTGGTTTAATTCATCAGTCATTGTTATTTTTATTGTTGTAGCCTTATTTTCTTCTGTTGATTGCTGATCCTCACTTCTATTTTTCCCTCCATTAATCCTGTTAGCTCCTCCCTTTCCTGGGCATTTTGATCTTTGCTCATTGTCCCTTGTGTAATATTTTCATTTTTTCCCTCTATGCCCTACATTAGTTCCATAATCTCCTTGTGGCTTGTTTCCATAATGCTTTGTCCTTTATGCTTTGAAACATCAATGCCATCCCTTTCAAAGTTCCACTCATTTCCCTCTTATGGAGCATCTTGTCCTGTTTTACTAAATCCAATTCTTATCCAATAGTCCAAGAATGCTATATTCAAGCTTAAAGTTGCTCCTTAGAAAGTACACTGATCACAATTATTTGTGTGCCATAATTAATCAATCAGTTCCATTTAAAAAATCCAGGGAGTTATCCAAAGCCTCTTTAACTCACCTTTGTAAATTCAATCATTTATAATAGCATTCAGGGGGCACTTCAATTAGATGTCTTCTAGATGATACCTTTGGTCTTGGATGGGGTGGCACTACCCCAAACAGACCCTGTGAGTAATCTAGGAGTTTTCCTGGACTTATGACTCCTGTTCAAAGAGCAGGTGGTGGTCGTGGCCAGGAGGGCCTTTGTGCAACTGTGGGTTGTGCACCAGTTACACCCTTTCCTGGACCAACAGTACCTACTCACAGTCACTCATGCCCTCGTCACTTCCCATCTTGACTATTGCAATACACTCTACATGGGACTGCCCTTGAAGAGCATCTGGAAGCTCCAGTTGGGGCAAAATGCAGCAGCCTGCATGGTTTTGTGCAGACCCCAATGTGCACATGTATCGCCACTCCTGCGGGAGCTGCATTGGTTGCCAATTTGCTTCAGGATACAATTCAAGGTGCTGGCTGTCCCCTTTAAAGCCCTTCATGGCTTGGGACCAGGTGATCTGAGGGACCGTCTCTTGCCGGTCACATCTACCTGACCCACCAGATCGGGGAGGCAGGGAATATTTTGGGTCCCATCCCCAAGGGAGATTCACCTGGTGGGACCCAGAAGAAGGACCTTCTCCGTGGTGGCTCCCTCTCTCTGGAAGCCCCAGAAATTAGAACAGACCCCACTTTGCCACTGTTCTGGAAGGCCCTGAAGACCTGGTTCTGCCAGCAGGCCTGGGGAACCCAGAGCGGGATGGAGCCCATGAAATGGCTCGTGTGATCTGCTGTCGCTGGGGCGGTGGGTGAGGGGTGGTTTTATTATATTAATTTATTTGATTCTTTTTATTAGTTTTATTGTTTTAAATGAGGTTTTATATTCTGTAAGCCACCTTGAGTCCCCATGGGCAAATAGGCAGCAATATAAATTCAATAAATAAATAAATAAAATAAGTAAAATGGATTCAGGAAACTACAGGCAATCAACCTTACATCAATACCTGGAGAATCCTGGAAAAAATAATCAAGCAACAGATCTGCGAACACCTACAAGCCAATAAAGTTATAACCAAAAGCCAACATGGGTTTGTCAAAAGCAAATTATGTCAAATAAATCTTATTTCATTCTTTGACAAAGTGACTCCACTAGTGGCCCATTGAAAGAGGCTGGACCTCCCGTTGTCTAAAATGGTATAGAATCTCCTGCTTGGGTGGGAGGTTGCATTAGAGAACATCAGGGGTTCCTTCCAACTCTGTTATTCTGTTCTGCTATTCTGTTCTTCTTTCTATGATCGTGTGTATCCATCCCATCAAACCCAAAGAAAGTCTGGAATGGCATAGGAACTCCCAACCTGGGCAGGGGGTTGGATTAAAAGATCTCCAAGGTCCCTTCCAACCCTATTATTCTACGTTCTGTATTCTATGTTCTGTGTTCCGTTAGCTTCACTGTAGTGTAGCATCCACAGCAAGACTTCCTGCTACCCTCTTGTTTTTCTCCTGCTTCCATTTGGATTATTGTCTTCCCCAAGAAATTCTATCATCTTGCCCCACATTGCAGCCAAGAGAGAAAGTGAAGAAGGCCTTGGTTTATGTTGGAGGAACTTCACTCCTTGCTCTGAGCCAGACAGTCGCAGCCAAGGAGCAAATTTCAACACAAAGAAACCACACCGTCTGATCACAAAATTTTACCACTTCGAAGGTAGATCCTGTTCTAAGGACACAACTAATATCTCTCTTCTTGAGTTTCCCTCTTCTGTTCCCGCTGCTTTGGCATGTTGCTTTTGCTTTCTCTGGATTGTTGCTTTGAAAGTCAAATGAACAACGTTCTACTTTGCCAAGATACGCTAATCGTTATAGTCTAGGCTATTTAGGGACAGGCGAGGAAAACCTTTCTTTCGCTGATCATTTGGCAAAAGGTTTGTGCATATGCAGACTTGTTTTCTGGGGGATGTTGGGGTGGTTTTAAAAGTAAAAAAAAAAAAAAAAAAAAAAACTTCAAAGTACCTTTTAGCAGTAAAGTGGTAAAGTTTGTTTCAAAGATTGAATCAAAAAGTTCAAAGTGCTTTTGAGAGTGCAGAGCATTTGAGTGAAAGTAGCAATGAAATTTGTCAAAGACAAATGTGAATGGTCAAATGTACAGGTGTAGAATGCTGGATTCCCTCTCTGGCACTCCTATTTCCAGAAAGGATCTGTAATTGTAGCTGATCACAAGCAAAATGTCAGTAGTGCAGTGGGGCTGCAGACAAGACCACTGCAGTTGAAGGTTGCCCCCAATACAGGATGTCATTGTTCCCCTTTATTCTGCTCTAGCTAGGCTCCCTTTCAAGGGCTGAGTCCTATTAGGGGCACCAGACTAACAAGATTCAGAAACTGGAACGGGTGCAACAAAAGTTTGCAAGGGTGGCGAGCAAACTAGTAATGAAGTCTCGCAACGAAAGATTGAGGGAACTGTGTATATGTGCACCTTGAGGCTGTGATAGTCCTCTTTCAATACTTGAGGAAGCTCTCCAGAGACGAAGGCCAGCTCCGGTTCTCCATCTTCCAAAGTGCAGGCAGCATAATGACTTCGGAAAGAGTGGTGGGATTCCCTTGGGGGGTGGGGGGAGCAGGACATCCATTTATCTGGGGTAATTTAATTTGGACTCATGCACTGAGCAGAGGTTGGTGGAAGCCCTGTTGAAAGATTTGCAAAGAAAAAGGAATGGGGAAGTCACCCATGGGTCTCCTGGCTTTCCCTGAAACGTAGAAATACGTTCCTGGGTGGCTATGCTGAGGACTGAGAGGTTCCTCAGCCACTTAGCATCCATCTGATGAAAAAGAGCGCCCTGTGTGAAGATCAGACCACCTGCTCCTTTTTCCTGGGAAAAGATGGCTTGGTCCCATCCTTTCCAATCGCACTCTGGGTGGGACTACTTCTCCTTCTCCTCCTCCTTCTTTTTCCTAGCATATTCCCACAAGTGTAGGATCCGCTTTTTGGATCATTGAGCGCTACTTTGCACAGTCAGCTGCGTCTCCAGGGTGCAGGCCCAAGGCCTGCATATCTTTGTTGATGGTGTCTTGCCATCTCTGTTTTGGACGCCCACAAGGTCGACGGCCAATGACTTTCGGTTGGTAGGCAGTCTTGGCAATGGTGGAAGGTGCTGCTCCCTGTTTATGTCCATACCAGTGGAGTCGGCCTTCTCTCATCTTCTTTATAAATTGGTGCCACACCAAATTATACTCGGTGGGACTCCCTTTGGAATATGTTATCAAATTTCTGGTGATAAAGATTGGTGTCTGCTGGGTTTCATTATTCATAGGGTGGGGTTCAGTGGTGATACGTTGCAGATTTGCTGATGGTTCCTTTAAAGAAAAATTCTAAATAAAAATACAGTAACCATGAATAGTACAGCAAGCTATTTAAGAAGGAAGACAACACCAATGAATGAACGTGTATCCTTCCCTCACATTAATGTATTAATTCTGGCATAAAACAATTATAGTTCCCCTGGGTGGTGTTAGATACAAACTCAGATCGTAAATCTGAGAAGGCTTTAGCTTTTCCTTGACCAGAATGCAGTGAGGTCAGTTTCTCAGCTCTGGCCATGCGCCAGACATTTTGGTACCAGAGGGCTCATGTCATTGCTCTATTTTTCCAGAGTTGTGGAGATTCTCGTGGCAAGTTCACAAAAATACTATTGATTTTGTAGAATAAATGCTTTCATTTATGTGCTACTAAAACTTTCATTAGGTTTATCTGTTTGTTTGTACTCTCAAGTTAGCCCAAGCAGTATATTATATCGCCACAAATTTTGAATTGACATGCCTAAAATCTGCTCACTTCAAAAATGGCTTTGTCCTCCCGAGGTAGTTAGAGCGAAGCATCTCAATTCTGGCCCAGCCTTAGTGCTCTCTCCACTGTTGAGCCTCTCCTTCCTTTTGCAAGCTGGCCAGAAAAGTTTGGATCAGTTTTGACCCTTGAGGAAAATGATAGAATAGAATAGAATTCTTTTTTATTGGCCAAGTGTGATTGGACACACAAGGAATTTACAAAAGTTCTCAGTGTACATAAAAAGAATAGATACATTTGTCAAGAGTCAAGAATCATCAGGTACAACACTTAACGATAGTCATAGGGTACAAATAAGCAATCAAATCATACTAGGAAACAGTCAATATAAATCGTAAGGATACAAGCGACAAAGTTACAGTCATACAGTCACAAGTGGGAGGGGGAAGGGCGATAAGGAGTGATGAGGAGATTAATAGTAATAGTAATGCAGACTTTGTAAATAGTTGGACAGTGTGGAGGGAATTATTTGTAATGGTGGTTGCTTTTCCTGATTTTTGTTTTCTGCCTGTTATGCTCCTTTGTTGTCCTTTTTTCCTTATTCCAGGTAAATATTGACTTTGATTGGATTGGATTAGAACAAAAAGCAAGGCCATAACTTAAAACATAAATGATAAAGGTCAGGTCAGTGGACCTGGATGCAGAGGGTTTTACCAAGTCCTTGGGCTTCTGCTCATGAAAACAGGTGGACCGCTGTCCAGAGGGGAGCCTTTCAGCTGAGTCGAGTGGCTGAGAAGGACAGCAGCCTCCTCTGCATCTGGGCCTTAGAAAGCCTTTGCTGGCACCAGATGAAAAGACTGGCAGTGACGCGAAGGAGGGGCTTGAAGCTTCTGGCTCTGGAGGGTGAGAGGCCCCATGAGCTGGCATCTCCTTGGGGGAGGGAGGGGGAGGGAGGAATCCAGCCCACCCCATGGGGATGAGCCTGCTTTCCTCAAGTGTGTGTGTGTGTGTGTGTTATTGTGTGTTTGTGTGTGTAGAGCCTTGCGTGCTTCCTTGATCACCAGCTGTTTGCGTGTCAAGTGACAATGGCCTAAAACAAGAGCTGCTTGTTTTTAAATAGCATGACCAACCTCACAAATGCCGCCGGGGCTGAACAGCCGAGTGAAACAGATCTCTGTTTTGCTTGCAGGAGGCTCATGACTCTGAACTCGATGAAGCTGGAAGTCCACTTTCAGCAGAAACAGGTAAGCTGCAGCATGGGGTACAAGGGTTGGGACAGGGCAGAGAACGCAGCCCACATCCTGGGAAAAGTTGGGCACAGGTTTAGTCCAGAGGGGAGCACGGTGGGTGACTCTTGCCACCACCCCCTGGCTGCCCCCTTCCCGGGCGCTGTCCAGATGCCCTTTGAGCTGACACGAACGCTTTCCTAGAGCAACCCCTGCGGGGCTGAGCTGGAGGGTCCTGGGCTCTTGAGAAGTCCTGGCGTGGAGGCTGGGAGAGGCCCTGGGGGCAGCGATGGGCCTCCGACGCAGAAACCAAACCTGTTGTTACTTAGATAACTTACATCATGCCTTTTCACTAACCAATATAGTCCCCTGTACACATTTTGTACCTAATTTCATCTGAATCAATCCGTTTCCTGAGATTGCATACTACAGAACATTGAAACAAACATGCTGGGGACCATGACTCAAATCCCCTCTAATTGTGGTTAGTGCTAACCAAGTTTAATATTCTAATGAATGATTTAGCTAGTCTTTAACTATCCAGGTTAAGCAAGTTAACGATATGTAAATACAGCAAGTGTGGCAAACAATTCATAAAATTCTCAAAAGAAGCCATTTCAGTCAGCCTAAAATTTATTTAGAAAAAGGAGCAACCAGCGGGGACAAAACCATGAAAGCCAGAGACAGAAGGGAATAGAGTGTAGAATAACAGGATTAGAAGGAACCCCATGGGTTTGAAGCACAATTTGGAGATCAGCCATCTTTCTAGACACCTCTCCCAATTCAAGGATTGGCAAATTCTCACAAAATTCCTGTATTATTAATTTATAGTTTTTAAAATTTAATCTGAGTCTCCATGTTGTCAGAAAAGTATATAAACAGCCAACATCTGTCTTTGTTCTAAATCATGATCAAGAAGATCACTTTTATGGAAAGAAAACTAAAATGGATATAAATAATTGAAATATATTTGTTTTGCCTTTTCAAAAGCATCATCAATTTAGTTAAACTTTTAGTAATTACTCTGAAGATTCTCTCACACTTAGGTTTTGACTCAATGGTAAGTGATGGACTGGGTTATCCAAGGTACAATTTTTCTGGATTAGTTCTTTGAATCAATTGTCACTCATCTAGTGGAGGTCATAAAACGATGCTTCTGACAATGCAAAAAGACTGCAGTTCCTTTAGAGCCAGCTTCTTCCCACCCAGTTGTCCAATGACTCTGATTTCTGTGCTTGATCTAGAATGAAGACTTGGATGATGAAGGCTTCTGTACTCTTGGTGCGCGATGGGCCTCCCAAAGACCCTGCAGAAGATGGTCCCAAACTGACTCAAAGGAACATCTTAGAAAGAGCTTGCAGAGAGACTCCACAATGAGGAAGTTTTCCAGCCAGGAAAGTGTCCTCACAGACCTCAGTGCTGACTTGGAGGCCATTTCACTCCATAGCACAAGCAGCTCTGGTGGGACCTTGGCTCCTGTGGCCGTAGCACCCCATTCGTCGTCCACTCAGAACTCCCCGACCTTAACCAACCCTACTGACAGCTTGAGTAACCATTCTCCAGCAGCCCAGTCTTCAAATGAAAACAGCAAGGAAAAACCCAAGAAACGTCAGACACGGAGTTTCCGCAAAAGAATCGAATCTCTGAGAAGGAAAGACAAGGAGAAATTGGACTCCGCTAAAGCTCCAGATGAGGATAGAACTCGCCTCATGTCTGGTTGGAAGTCCACAAAGGATGCCAAGGAACCTGTCTCTGGGACGCAGGTTGTAGTAGGAAATGAAAAGCCACGTCCTTTCTACAGCACTAAGACCCTTCCAACAGGTGGTCAGAGTAACCAGGCTCTGGCCTCAGTTAAAAGCAAGCTGCTATGTGAGTCCAAATATGGTAGTATTTATTTAGAGGATTATGAAACAAGTCTGAACAAGAAACAGGATGCCAGAATGTGGGATCACCAAATTGCATTTAAAAGAGATTATTTATTCCACATCCCAGGGGATTACAAGCCAGGCACTTTCCCTAAATCTCTCTCCATTGAAAGCTTGTGTCCTTTGGAGAGTGGCTGTTTGGCAGACTGGAGATCGACCCCCAAAGCCTCAAGTCCTTTGGCAGGTGGCACTGGCATCAGCAGTGGTGTCCATGCGGGCAACTCTTCTCATGCCCTGGAGCACCGACCAAGGAGGCCTTCAAGCACTTCCACAGGTAGCCGCACCAGCCTCTACGACAACGTTCCTGACTTCGGCAGTGGAGACGATCTCTTTGATCTGGACCAGGAAATGATCTATGAAAACCTAGATGACATCCTGCAGCATGTTTGGGGTCTCCAGCAAAAAGTAGAGCTCTGGTCAAAGGCAGTTAAGTTGGACATGGAGGATGAAACTGTTGGGGTGGAGGAAACAGATTCTGGAGAGGAGCCCACCAATCTCAACTTGGAGAACCATTCCATGTCTGACATTGGTATTTCCACCAGCGACTTTGAGAGCACTGCCAACTCTCTGAATGAGACTGAGGAGCCCGAAATGAGGGAGCGCAGAGACTCTGGCGTGGGGGCATCGCTTACAAGACCTTGCAGGTAAGTCTGGCAACTTTTTCAGGGTAATTAGGAATCTCCTGATCCTCTTCTCTCCCTAGGAAAATCTGTCTGAATGCTGCTCAGGGTTGTGATAGAGTTCTACAGCCTATGAGTTTAATAAAGAGCAGTAATAATTTCAGATTTTTGCTCTTCCAGGCCCCCCACCAAAAGATAAGTCTACCTGGTCCCTGTTCAGAACTGGGATCAAAGCCCCTCAGTCTTGTTCAGTGGCCATTGATGATGATGCTCCAGTGCTGTCTTTTGTGGGGAATTCTTCTCTCCGGTTTGTTCTGTAGATACTCACAGGTTACACTGTTCGTTCTCAGGACAGAAATTGTGGTTTTGGATACTATAAGAAATCCCACATATTTCTTTAGGGTGAAGTTGAAATTTGGCAATATGTTTAGCATTGGATGTAATGCTATGTTGATGATCCAAACTCTGTCAAGGACCTTGGAGTACTAATTTCTAATGATCTAAGTGCGAGAGCCCATTGTAACTATATAGCCAAAAAGGCATTAAGAGTTGTTAACCTAATCCTACATAGCTTTTTCTCAGGTAATATCACGTTACTAACTAGAGCATAAAAAACATTTGCTAGACCAATACTTGAATGCAGCTCATCAGTCTGGAACCCACATTACGTATCTGACATTAACACAGTTGAGAAAGTCCAGAAATATTTCAAAAGAAGAGTTCTCCACTCCTCTACTCGTTGTAGATTACCTTATGCCACCAGGCTCGAAATTCTAGACCTAAAAAACTAGAACTACGCCGCCTTCAGTCCGATCTAAGTATAGTACATAAAATTATATATTGCAATATCCTACCTGTTGTTTTTTTTTAATTTTATTTGGGTTTTCACAAAAACAAAATACAAATAAAACATCTTTTTAGAAAATAGCATGGTCCCAGGTTATCACTTCTTCATACAGACACAAAACTCAATTTCATGCTCATTTTTATATTCTATTCCATATCTTATTACCATTTTATATTTTCTACATAGTTTTTCCCCTCTTCTAATTTTCTCAACTTTGTTTTGATTATCTCAATTCAAATCATTATATTTATACTTTTGTCTGTCCTGTTACAATTTCACATTATCTTTTCTTATTAAACAAATTTTTCCCTGTAGTTACCAATTAGAGTATGACACCTTTATATCCTTTAATTTTATCCATTCAAGCTCTTATTTAAGCTTCAATGTATAGCTTTAAGATTATAGCATTCAATATAATACATAACTTCCAATCGAATTCTGCTTGGTACATTCTTAAAATAGACACTATATTCTTAAAAAGAAAAAATTATATATATATGTAAATAAAACACATTCCATTCCAATTCAATTCTATCATTAATATGCATTAAAATCTTAACATCTTTAACATTTCTTTTCAATTGAATATCATACTTCCTTGGGAACACTTATAAACTTACCATAGTTAATTCTTTTTTCCCCATATTTCTCACTTATATTTTTATAAATCATTACTAATAATTAAAAATGTTCCCTTTTAATTCTCTCAATCATTTTAATTCATTTATTTATTAACAAACATCCCACTGCATTACAATAAATATTTTATCCATCATCATATTTTCTAAAGTTATTTCTATTTGTAATATAACAAAGCTATCTTATGTAACTTTGCAGAATCCCTTTTACAATTAAATTTTCACCCATTATCTCTAAACAAACTTATGGTTACAATCCTTATATCTTTTCCCTGTTTCTCCATTTCTTGTTTTTCTTGAGTTTTGACTTCCGGTTTGAGTTTCTTCTGTGACAGACCGAAACCTCGTCTCTCCGAGGCTTCGATCTGTGCTCGCCGCTGGAGCGCCCTGAGCCACCCCATAGAGGTGGTGAAGAGGGGGCAGACTGCCTGCAGGGTTGAGGAGAGCTGCATCTCTCCTCCCCAGCTGGCCATTACTCCCTTTCCCGAAGGCAGTTGTAGCGGTGGTCAGAAATGGCCACCACAAAGAAGAACTCGACCGGAAAAGAATGTGCAGGAGGAAGATAAGAAGAGAAAGTTTTGGTTGACCAGGTCAAACAGCAAAAGCAACAAATTAGGTACCCTGGAATTTAAACTTAACAACATTGTTCCCAAAGAAGATTTTGAAGCTGCGAAGGAGAGAGAGAAGGGAAAGGATTAGGGTTTTTTTCTTCCCTTCTTTATACTGACAGCTAAGAGACTTAAGCAAGAAACTGAAAAAAAATCCATTTTGACATTAATAGGCATCTAAGCTGAAAATAAAAGTCAAAGGGATAAATAAAGATTTCTGGACATTTAAAAGTTTTTTAAAAAGCAGGAAAGGAGGGGAAAAAAAGAATAAAAGGGCAGGATCTGGAAAAATGGAGGAGACTGCCTGGAATTAAGGAATGGAGCTGTCATTAAAAGGAACTTACAGTGAAATTTTAACAAGATTCCTCAAAGATACATTTTAATGGAAACTTGGTAACAAAATAATAGAACCCCAGGAAGAGAAAGTGGAAAAAGGAAGCAAGTAGAAACAGCTTTGGATTATTTGGATTACTTGGTGATTTTTGGTTTTTGCATCTACCGGTAGATGACTAAAATTAACTGGGTGGTTGTTTAAAAGTTTTTAAAATGGTATCACTCTTAGAAGAACTGAAAACGGAACTTAAAAAATGGAAAGAAGACGCACAAGAAGGGAGAAGTTCTTTTGGCTTCGTGTTTCAATTCTTAGAAATGGAGATCTGGAACTATGAGAAGCAACAAGAAACGCTTGCAGAACAAGAAGATTGGGACAAAGAAGAAGCCATCTTTAATGATCAAATAATTTTAAGTGGGGGGAAAAAAGAAAAGGGGGGGAAAGAGAGTGAAAGGTTTAAGATTAGAAAAAACAACCAAAAAGAAGAAGAACAATTTGAAAGATAAGTATAATATTAGAAAGCAACAGAAGAGGGGATTACAGATGAGAGAGTTAGAAGTAGAGAGACGAGGGGGTAAAAAGGGGAGGGAGAAGAAGAGGGGGAAGAAGGCAAGGAAAAGAAGTTGTAAAAGGCAATGTCCTACCTGTCAATGAATACTTCAGCTTCAACCATAACAATACAAGAGCACACAATAGATACAAACTCAAGGTAAACCGCACCAAACTTGATTGCAGGAAATACGACTTCAGCAACAGAGTGCTCAATGTCTGGAATATTCTACCTGTATACTGCCTACTATTGACCTCACCCCTTTCCTAAGAGGTCTGTAAGGGGCGTGCATAAGTGCACCAACATGCCTACCGTCCCTGTCCTTTTGTTTCTTTTTATTTCTCTTATATGTATCCATTTCATGTATTCATAACTATGTTTATACTTATACCTATTATCTTGTAAGCGATTGACGAATCAAATAAATAAAAATAAAATAAATAAAAAGAAAACTACTATCTACAGTTCAGTGTCAAGGAAGATCAATAATTAGACTTTAAGAATTTTGTGAGATTTAGATCATTTTGCAAAACTTATTTACAATGGTGCTTTAATTGTTTATTGATGGATTAGAGTTTTGTCCCAATCTGAAGGCAGCTTGAATAAATGCCCCTTCGAGTTTTATCCCAGCAACGTCTCTGTGAGGTAGGCCGTGCTGAGAGAGAGGGATAGCTGCCATGGGCAGCAAAGGCACTTCCCAGCCTAAGGCCAACCTTTACCCACTGTACAACGCCTGGCTTGGCAGCGTTTCAGGCTGGAGTTGGGATACTTGTGGAGACCTAAGACTAGGAAAAACGAGGCATTTCTGGATCCAAGACTGGGAGTGGACTTTGGATGGACTGCCGAAGGCTGGCCCAAGGAGAAAAGACCCAAGACGATAACTAAACTGGGTATGATCCCATTTTAATTCAATTAAAACCAAATGAAAATAGTGATATGACTATTCCTCAAATATTGACTTAAAACTTACTCTTTCTTCACTTTAAAAATACAGCTCAAAATCAGCTTTGGGCTGGCTGTGGAGGCTTTGCCACTTAGGGGTGAGGAAGCTTGGGGCTGCAGACATCAGGTTGTATTGGGGGCTGCAATTTCTGCGAACCTTTTCAGATGCAAGAGACACCCAGGCATTCAGAAGTAAAGAAGAAGGCGGTGGCCCAGGTTCCTTCTTTTGAAATGCAGAAGTCACATTGCAATTGTTGAAGGAGGAGGGAATCAAGAACCATGGCTGATTTGTACTCTCCACTAGATCCTGATTTATCTCCTCTTCACCTACAACTAAGGCACTCCATTTCTGCAGTTTACTCACAAGGAACTGCCATCCAGAGTGCACGTGGTTGACCTCGTGATCTCCCTTTGATCAAGGGAGGTTGTGTATTCTCAGCTGCAGTGGCTTTCAATGCCTTCAGAGAGGGTCAGTCTGTCATATAGCCCCCTACCAGGAATTCTCCCTCTAATTCTTCTCAGGAATGGACCTGTTGAGCAATGGACACGGTTACCAGTCTCTTAGAGGCAAAATAATTCACCTTTCATTTGAGTTTGACAAAAAAACAAGAAGAATATTTAAAACATTTCACAACTGTTTTCCAACTATAAAAATAATATTTTCCTAACTTGTTTTCTAAACCAAGCTGGAAAAATCTGGCAATTTAACAAATGCTTAATTAATCTGTAGTTCATAGCAAAGGTACATGTTATGAGACCATGTGCTTCCAGCTATCCTTATTTGTAGTATTATTTTTTTTCTTGTGACATATCATTCAAGTTGAAAGACAGCAGAAGACATCTAGGAGGGTCCTTGCCTCTTGCACCCTTAGCCCACAAGGAAGCCAGACTGGAGCCACAGGCTTTCTAATTTGAATTCTTGGCCACATCACCTTTATTCCATTCTGGTTAATTTTTAACTGCATTTAATTTTAAAACAAAAAGTTCTGGTCTTAAAATTGTACTCAGGCAGGACCAGATGTGCAGGAAGAGACCTTAGGCCCTGCTTCCTGCCTGGGACAGGATGATGTTAGGCTCTGGAATCAGAGATTCCCAGAGAGCAGTGAATCAGAGGCTGCTTTCCTGAGCAAGACAGGTACGGCGCCTTCCATCTCTCTGTCCTGGCTTCTGCTCCGGGACATTATAGGGTGGAAATTCTTCATCAAGGGCAGAATCACTTGCTTCCATTCCAGCTGGCAATGACAAGTCATCCCACCGATCTGTGAATTACCGAATTGACTTGTGATGTCGATCTCCCCGTGGACAAGAGAACATGAGTTCCCAGCCCCACCCAGCCTCGCATAGACCAGCATGTGGTATTGGGCAAGCACTTCCTTATGGCTAGCCACAAATTACACAGAGTTCTCTTGGAAGCCCTTCTGCTCTTATACCCACTCTGGCTCTCCACAGAAAGACATGATCTGAAAGACATGGAGCTGCATTTGCATGGAGGGAAGCAGGGAGTGGGTTCCTCAAGGTTCTCTCTTAGGTCCTCAACAGTCCTCAACACCTTCATCCATGATTTAAGTGGGAGATAGAAGGAATACTCATGGTGGCAGGAAGGACATCTGGCCATTAAACACTCTGCTAGCTCCATTCAGCTGCCCAGACTCCACCCTGCAAGGGATTATGGGATCGCTAAAAGATCATGATGATAGAAGGAATACTCATCAAACTTGCAGACGACATCAAGCTAGTGGAGAATAGCCAACACTTTAGAAGAAGATCCAGAAGGATCTTGACAGACTTGAGCATTGGATCCTATCCAACAAAATGCAGTTCAGTGCTGAGAAAAGAGAGGCTTGATACTTAGGTAAGAAAAGCCAAATGCACAGGTACAGAATAGGTGGTGCCTGGCTCAACAGCAGTAACTGAGAAGGATCTAGGTGTCCTAGTAGACCACCATTTGAGCCAGCAGCGTATTGCAGCTACGAAAAAGGCAATAAAGTCCTAGATTGCATCAAGATCACAGGAAGTGTTAATACTAGCAGTGTTTTATACTCCCATAGTAAGACTACACTTGGAACACTGGGCCCAGTTCTGGTCACCATGATACAAAAAAAGATACTGAAACTGTAGAAAGTGTGCAGAAAAGAGCAACAAGGATGATAAGGTAATGGCTAACCCGTATGATAGATGGGTAGGGGAACTAGGGATGTTTAGCCTAATGAAGAGAAGGTTTAGGGGTGACATGATAGCTCTTCCAGTACTTGAGGATCTGTCACAGAGAAGAGGGGAGGGTCAGTTTATTCTCCAAAGCTCCTGAGGGCAGGACAAGAACTGACAGATGGAAGCTTCAACCTGGAACTAAGGAGAAATTTCCCGACCGTGAGAACAACTAATCCGTGGAAGGGCTTGCCTTCAGAAGTTGTGGGTGCTCCATCACTGGAGGTTTTCAAGAAGAGATAGGGTCTCCTTCTTGAGCAGGGGGTTGGACTAGAAGACCTCCAAGGTCCCTTCCAACTCTGTTATTCTGTATTCTATTCTTTTTCCCGTCCTGGAGCAACATACTCTTTTTTCAGTGATAACTACTCCAGTATCACACACCAATTATAGGCTTCTTGATTTATTAAGTGCCCTTGTGGGTTCTTGAAAGTGATCTCTGTATGAGGAACAATCCTAAGGAGAAATGTGTCCTTCAGGTGAAGCATTAAAATTCAGGTCCAGTATTTGGTGCCCTCTAGTGAGTTGCAATTACCATAGGAAAGAGCATTACAATAGTGACGAAAGGTGGCGTCCATCTGGGCCTTCTTTGAATCAGAGGGTGGGAAGAGCCGTTTGGAGGTCAAGTCCAGCCCTCCCATTCCGCTCCACCCAAAGGTTTCCTGGGCCAAGGAAGGAGACACCTTCATGTTGGTAGGTGATAGGTTGGGAGAGGGGGAAAAAGAAATAAAAAAAGAGGGGAAAAAAAACCAAAGGAAAGGAAAGAAATACAGAAACAAACAACTTCTTCCTTCATTAAGACAAATACAAACATTTAATCCACACATCTAATAATATCCCCTTCCACCTCTTCTTGGAAGCCCCTTTTTATTGCATCAGAAAATCTAAAGAGTAGGTTCTGGAGACCCTTGAATTCTTCCAGAATTAAAATATTTGCACCAAGACAAATTATTTGTTTGTCCAATCACATTTGTCCAATAAAAGAATTCTATTCTATTCTATTCTATTCTATTCTATTCTATTCTATTCTATTTTTTTCCATTATGTGTTAGTGAGTCTCCTTCTTTAATTCTAAACTTTAATGATTTCTGGTTGCTTCTAGTAACCGGCCTTCAGGCTCTTTTATTATGTTTTTCTCTCATAGAATCTCATAGAATAACAGAGTTGGAAGGGACCTTGGAGGTCTTCTAGTCCAACGCCTTGCTGAAGCAAAAGCAAGGCTGCTGGCTCATCTTTAAGTGGATTCCTCTCACTGTTACATCTGTTGGGTCAGGTACCACCTATTTTATACTTGTGCATTTGGTTTTTCCTGCCTATGTGTAGGGCCTTAACTTTTCTCACTACTGACCTCCATATTGTTGGATAGGGCCCAATGCTCAAGTCTGTAAAGGTCCACAGGAGCCCCAAAAGGTTAGCCACCACTGTCCTATATAAAGACGTTGAAGAGTACAGAGCTTCGGGGTACCTCACTGCATGCTTCCTTCCATGTAGATGTAAGGTTAGGGTTAGGGTTCTTCCTCATGTTTCCAATCAATACGGTCCTGAATTTTCTTTTGGGCCCGCCATACTTGCTGATGTCATCACTCCATCTTGTTTTAGATCTCTTTTCGTGGATGCTTTTGATCAAGTGGGATCCATTCTATGATTGCCTTGGTCCACCTGCTATCAGTTCTTCTTGCTATGGGACCAGCCCATTTCCATTTCAAACCTTTGATTCTCTTGATGGCATCGTATACTTTGGTTTGTTCTCTAATCCATGTGCGGGTCTTTCTATCTTGTCTTGAGCGTGTATCTTTCCATAGCTATTTGCGCCATGCGTAGCTTTTGTAGTGATTGTGAGGTTAGTTTCCATGTTTCACTGGCAAATGAGCAGGTAGCACACACTGATCGAAAACTTTTCTCTTCAGGCACAGCGGGAGGTTGTCCTTGAAAATTATGCTTAGCTAGTCGAATTCCTGCCAACCACATTCAACACGCTGTTCAATTTCCTTTATTGTACCACCTTTATTTTTTCCTCTATTGTATCACCAAGAATGCAGTATTGCAGGCTAATTCTACTGACTGCCGGCTGCCAGCAGTTCAGCAGTTCAAATCCCACCAGGCTCAAGGTTGACTCATCCTTCCATCCTTCCAAAGTCGGTAAAATGAGGACCCAAATTGTTGGGGGCAAGAGGCTGATTCTGTAAATTGCTTAGAGAGGGCTGTAAAGCACTGTAAATTAGTATATAAGTCTAAGTGCAATTGCGAAGCAAATATATCTGCTCATTAAATAAACAAACAACTGCTTTCCTCCCTCTTGTCCCACCTCAGGAAACTCCGCTGGCATAGTTTCCAGAACTCCCACAGGCCCAGCTTAAATTCGGCCTCCTTAGAGATCAACCGTCAGTCAGCAGCTCAGCTCAGCCTTCTCCAGAAGTGCTCCCTTCTCCGCCTCACAGCCATCATGGAGAAGTTCTCCGTTCCCCACAAGCAGTCCTGGGCCTGGTAAGTCAAGGAGGACAGGAGGGTCTTCAGATCACAGTGGATGGGTCAGCAACCAGTTGCCTGAGGGGGCAACAGAAGGGTAGGGGGTTGAAGAAAAACAGGACCTCAGTGGCAATGACCTGTCCTCCTTCTAGGGGTACTTCTGTTCCATACATTTTGGGCTCTCTTTTTTGTATGAGGTTCAAGGTGGCTCATAGAATTGCCAGGTTAGAAGGCACCTCAGAGGTCTTCTGGTCTGACTCCTTCCTTGAAACAGGATTAGCTGAACAATTTTAGACAGATTCAGCTTTGGTTTGAAGCCCTCCATCTCACGAGACAACCTATTCTATCGATTTTTATTGTCAACATATTCTTCATAATATGTAAATCTACTTCTCTATAATGTCAGCTATTGATTCTCTGGGCCAATACACTAAATCCACTCCTTATTCTAAAGATTTGCTACAAACTCTCCTTTCAGTTATCTTTTTTGTAGACTAAACAGACCCAGATCTTTTAACAACTCCTTGTAAAATGCGGTTTCCCCTTTGGCAGCCCTTCTCTGAACTGGTTCCAGTTGGCCAGGGTCCTTTTTAGAGCAGAGCACACAATAGTCCAGTTGTTGCAACAGAAGTCATTTGACTCTTTCAGATCTTGACCCAGAGAATTACTAAACTCCCATCTCATGATGCACCAAATGGAGGGGCTAGTGTGTCACATGGGCAAGAAAACTCTAACAACAAAGGGCACACACACACACACACACACACACACACACACACACACACACCCAAGAATTGTTTGAGGGCTAATTGCACTCTTTGGGTTAGAGACAATCATTTTTCTATTCCACCAGCTGGACATGGAGAACCTTGTGTGGCCCTGTCAAAATAAGACCTCCCCAGGACTCATTTCCTTAAGTGAGATGGGTGGTGTAGAAATTTGATAAATAAATAAAATAAATAAAGGAGGAATGAGCTAAAATTTCTCCAAGCCAATGTGCAGGACTGATTAACATTTATCAGAAATGTTTAGTTACTGAAAGCAAAGGTTCACACGCTTTTGCCACACACAAATACTATATGTAGCTTTGGATACTGTTCAATAAAGAAATGAACGCATTTTATTTTTGACCAGTTTATTTCATTGGGTTGTATATATTTCATTTTAAGGGTTATGTGGAAAACAGATCCTATTTGGAGGTCATATTTATGCAGAAATGGGGCTCCACTGAAGTTGGGTGGGCAATAAATTTAAAAAAAAAATAACATTGAAAATGTTTTAACCACTACAGCTGGGGTGTCCAACCGTGGCAACCTGAACTTCAACTCTCAGAATTCCCCAGCCAGATCTTGCCTCCTAAGTCACACTCTCTTCTCTGACAGGACTGTTCCCAAGTTCATGAGGAGGAGCAAGCTCCCAAACTACAGGGGCAAGATGGTCTTTGGAGTCCCCTTGATTGTCAGTGTCCAAAGGACAGGACAGCCCTTGCCCCAGAGCATCCAACAGGCCATGCGCTACATCCGAAGCCAGTGCCTGGACCAGGTAAGTTCGCACACGCCCTCTCATTTCTTGCTGGGCCTAATCAGAAGTGATGAATTCAGCAGGTTCTGACCAGTTCTGGAGAACCAGTAGCGGAAATTTTGAGTAGTTCGGAGCCACGCCCACAAAACTGGTAGTAAAAAAAAATTGAATCCCACCACTGGCCTAAGACAACCCAGGTGGGACAGAAGACACGAGGAGAGAGATGAAATGTATTTGAATATTAGTAGCTCAAGGTTGGTTGTTGGTTTGAGCTCCGAGCTTGGCGATTTGATTGCAAATAATTTGTCACCATTCAAGGAGACGTTGTCAGTGTGCTTTGAATTGTGCTCGTCTGTCAGAACACAGATCTTTAAATACCTTTTTGTGTGTGTGTGATGCAAAATTGGTGTGGATGTTGTTTGTTTGACTGCTTCTGAGTCATAGTCTGACTTCAGAGCATTTGATTGGCTGGCTGTTGTTGCCGGGGCATGGTCCTTGGTTTTAAGAACCGTCTGTGTGGTGTACATTGTTGTTGTTTGTTGTTGTTTGTTCAGCTACTTTTGAGTTATGGCCTGAGTAGTGGATTCCTTTTTTTTTTTTTGTTTGTTTAAATGCTGTCATCAGCTTTGCAGTTGGTGCAGTTCTTTCATTCTCAGTGATTGGCAGATGAGATCGATGTCAATATGTCTGTTTATTGACTTGTTGGTGGAAAACCAGGTTTCAAGGAATTCTTTTCTCTCCTTGACTTTCCCTGGGTTACAACTGTCATCCCAGTTAGGTTTAACTTGTGTCCTTCTGAATCTTTGTGGATGGACATGAGGGTCATGTCTGAACACAATTCAAGGAGCACCGACAGTGTCTCCTCGAATGGTGATGAAACATTTACACTCCGATTGCCAATCTCAGAACTCAAACCAACAACCTAACAAGGAGACAGAGGAAGGCCTATCCTGTGATAATGGGGCACAAGGTCCCATACCTTAGAGGAGCAGAGGTGGATGGGAGAACAGCCGAGACTTGCTCATGCATAGTCTGGATCCAGTGAGGTGTATTGATGATCCTATCTGAAAGCTAATTTTGTGCAGACGGGGCTGAAGCTTTATTAAATGGAAAGATGGAAAGGGAGCTGGAGGCTGAAAAACATAATGGCTCTCTGAAGTGGTTGATACACATGCAATTTCCTCCCCCACCCCATGAGGCTTCCTTCTAATTTCCTTGGCATTTCTTCTTTCTTGAGGCCTGCAGACAGTGCTAAATAGTCCTCGACCTATGGCCACAACTGAGCCCGAGATTTTTGTTGCAAAGTGAGACGGTTGTAGGGTGGCTTTTGCCCCATTTTGCGACCTTCCTTGCCACAGGTGTTGCCTGGGTTGCTGCCGGTGTTGGATTTGGTGATGTGGTGGTTGAGTGAATCTCACCTTTGACTTGTCAGAGGTTTGCCAGGGAGGATTGCGTGACCCTGGGACACTGCAATTGTCATGGATGTGAACCAATTGCCAGGCATCCAGGTTTGGATTGCTTGACCACAGGGATGCTGCAGTGGTTGTGGGTATGAGAACTGGTCATGAGTCACTTTTTTTGGTGCCATTGTGGCTTGGAACACTCACCAAACAAACTGTTGTAAGTCAAGGATTATCTGCAACATGCTGCTGATGTAAATAGCGCATCCCTGCTATGAAAATTGGTTCTCTTCATACAAATGCTGGATTCCCTAGCCTGGGTTTAGGACTAGAATCACTGAGTTAAAATTACAAGGAAATAGATTCAAGGCTGATAGGAGAGACCCAACTTAGAACTAAGGATACATTTTCTGACAGTTAGAACAATTAATCAGTGGAATGACTTGTTTTAGGTTGCTTCTCTCCTTGATTAATTTTCTTCCATTGCTTCTTGTCTGGCCTTCTAATGCTTGGAAAATAGTTGATCACCTCTTCTTTGTGACAGCTCCTCAAATATTGGAACACAGCTATCATGTCACCCTGCTTGTTCTTTTCACTAGAAACAGACCCAATTCCTGCAACTGTTCTTCATTTGTTTTAGCCTCCAGCCCACTAATCATCTATGTTGGTCTTCACTGCACTCTTTCCAGAATCTTAACATCTTTTTTATATTGTGATGAAAACTGGACACATGTTCCAAGTGTGGCCTTACCAAGGCATTATAAAGTGGTGTTAACACTTCACGTGATCTTGATTCTATCTCTCTGTTAATGCAACTAGGATTGCATTGGCCTTTTTTGCAATTGAAGCACACGGCTAGTGATTGTCCATTAGGACCCCCTCTAGCAGTTATGGCTATTGAGCCTGGTTCAGCTATTCTGTACCTGTACATTTGGGTTTTTGTGGACCATCCCTTAAAGATGAGCTAACAGTGTGTGGCAGGAACTCCATCCCTGCAGGCTTTTGAGAGGAGATTGGACAGCCCCTTATCTGAAATAGGTCTCCTGCTTGGGGAGGGGTCCTTTCCATTTTCCCTCCCATTGGATTTCATTTTATTCCATAGGACTGAGTGTTCAACTCTTCTGAGATCCTTCTGGATCTTGAGCCCCTCTTCTGGGGTTTTGGCTACTCCTGCCACTAGTTGGCAGAGCTTTGGACTCACCCAAGTTCCCTTCTGGTGTGAAGGTGCCATTTAATCAGCGGAGGCTTCTGACTTGGAGCACATTGGTTGAGTTGCACATATTCTGTGGTTCCAGTCTGGGGTAGCATCCTGTGCAAAGAAGCTGTTAAATCCAGAGTTCTACACCTACCTGATGTCTCTTTCCTGCACAGGTTGGCATTTTTCGCAAATCTGGGGTAAAGTCCCGCATCCAGAACCTCAGGCAGATGAGTGAAGCCTCTCCTGATTATGTGAATTATGAAGGGCAATCGGCCTATGATGTGGCTGACCTGTTGAAGCAGTACTTCCGTGATCTTCCAGAGCCAATCTTCACCTGCAAGCTAACAGACACCTTTCTGCAGATATACCAGTGTGAGTAGTGTGATGGGGGAGGGGAAGTTAGGGGAGGAGGAGGAGGAGACCCATGATTTGGAACTTTAGCTGACCACCTATTGGGCTGGAGGTAGTATTGTCTATGAACAAATAAACTTGGCTAAAAGGTTATTCCATACCTTGTAGGGACTGACCACTGCAATGGCTTGTCCTATGTATTTTAGTGGTTGGGTGGGAGCAAGTTGTCTGGCGCAAAGAATCAGGACCATTTGTAAGGTTGCAGAAGATTTCTTCAAGCCTACATACAACTAATTCAACTAAAGTTCAATGCTAGATAAGGATCAATGGAATTCAGGAGGGAGTTGGACTTGGAGTGGGAACACAAGGACTTTGAACTGATGATGATTTAACTCCGCCACCCCAGCTCTTCTCCTACACAGACAAGGATGTCTCCACTTTCTAGGAAGCTTCTAGATCAGTGGTCCCCCACCTTTCTGGCTCCATGGACCACCGGCAGCCATGGGAGGCGAGGACAGTGGTGGCGGGGGGGGGGATGGTTTTGAGCGCACAACCTAGATCCCATGCATGTGCAAATGAAGTTTGTGCACTTGCCTGCTGCTTGTGCAGCCCAGTTCCCAATAGGCTGTTGACCAGCACCAGTTAACGGAGTAGGGTTGGAGACCCCTGTTCTAGATAACTGGTGGTTTCTTCCACCTTTGTCAATCAGACTCAGCCCCATTGACGTTGCTTTGGTTTTTTATCACTGCAAGCTCATTCCATTTGCAGGAACTTCCTATGTGTGTTTCATATTATGAAGGGGGAGTGGGCATACTTCTATGGACACACATACCTTACATCTAGATATAGGCAACTGGACCCCTATCGTTGATCGTAGGGCCAGAAGGCATGCTGGGCTCTGGCTTGTACCTCACCTCTTTCCTCCAGAGAGCCCCGTTTTGCAGCTCTGGTGCTGCTCGTTTTCTGCACCAGCAACTGGGGAAAGCAGGTCATCCCACAGGTGGCTTCGGTGGATGAGTTTTTCCCACCTCACTAGAACCCCCCTGTTGGTTGAATATCCAAATGTATTAAGAATTGGAAATGGCTTTTTTATTTTATTTTCAGGATATACTCAGTAGGGTGAAAGATCTGCCAATAAACTGGGCACAATGTCAGAAACCAGAGATAGAATCGGAAATGGAACTTCTTCTCCTGGAGGTGGGGGGGGGAATGGGAAGTCCTCTGTCCTGATCTGAAGAGCAGAGCAGGATTGAGCAGGGCGAGGCCTGTCCCTTTCCACTGCAGAGCTTACTCAAAGAGTATGATGCTAGTAGGTTCCTGCTGCTGTTAGTATTTAGTCTTCCACGGCGCAGATACTGATGTTTGTTTCTTGAACTTTCCAGTTGTGCCCAAAGATCAGAGGCTGCAAGCTGTCCAGGCCGCCATCATGTTGATGCCGGATGAGAACCGGGAGGTTTTGCAGACGCTGCTTTATTTTCTCAGCGATGTTGCCTCTTCCGAGGAGAACCAGATGACAGTGGGAAACCTGGCCGTGTGCTTAGCCCCCTCCATCTTTCACCTCAATGTCTCCAAGAAAGAGAGCACTTCTCCAAGGTCAGGTGATCTCTCCCAGCTGCAGCTCAGATCACTTTGCTCTTTGTTGCCTGATGCTCAAAGCCCAGGTTGATGGTGCTTTAGAGCAGGGGTCCCCAACCACCGGTCCGTGGACCGGTACCGGTCCGTGGAACAAATCCTACCGGGCCGCTGGTTTGCTGGGCGCCGCCATCTTGTTTTGATGAAAAAGTGCTTCCGGTGAGCTTTTCCGGGTAGAAAGCTCACCGGAAGCACTTTTTCATCAAAACAAGATGGCGGCGGCCAGCTGATGCCGGTACCGGGCCGCGGCGGCCAGCTGATGCCGGTACCGGGCCGCGGCATAAAAAAGGTTGGGGACCACTGCTTTAGAGAGTGCAGAGTCACTACTTCAGAACTGCAACAGATTTTTTATCAAAGTTTTACAAAAACAGGAAGGAAGGAAGGAAGGAAGGAAGGAAGGAAGGAAGGAAGGAAGGAAGGAAACTTTCCATTTCCTTTGCAGCAAATATGACTCATATTTTTTCTTACTCTATCACTTAAAAAAACAACCTCACTTTCTACTATTACCCACCCAGCACCAGTCTTTGGAGGCTGTGCGATCAGAAGAAACAGTTTATAAAGTGAATAAGACTAAAATTCATGCATACCATTTTCCAAAGAATGGAATAACTCATCATAACGTGGCCAACTCACCAGGGCCATCTTGCTGTGGCCAACCTGGCACAGCCATATTGTCACAGCCAACTCACCATGGGACAATTCCATTCAGGATAAATCGGTGTGATAAATATTATACACCACTGTTTCTTCTATGTTATTCCCATTGACAAAAATGGAAATAATTGTTCTGACCCAAGCCTTGTTCAAATTAAACAAACACAGTGTATAAAAACAAACTTTTTTTAATGCGGTGCTGGGAATTCTTTGCATTCCCAGCCAAGAGTTATTTAAACCTAATTGTCCGAGATAAAAGCAAGCCTTTTCAAGGTTGTAAAAGGCTGCCAAGAACAGAAGTCTAATTACTGATGAATATCAACCGACAGAAGTTTCAAAAACAAACTGGAGTTTGCAGGGCTTCAACAAGGACTCAGAGTCTAAAGAACTTCTTTGCTTCCTGCAAAGAGCACACCCGCGAGGGTTCGTTTTATCCCATATGGGAGGGGCCATCACCTTCCAGCCTTACTCCCGAGTTGCCCTTGCTGCTTCAGCTGCTCTCTTCTTTGAGCAGCTTTGCGCACATGCACACTGGGTACAAGCTCCTCGGGGTCCTCTGCGTCACTATTGCCAGCCCCCACAAGCTCCGAAGGCAGCACCCCACTCTCTGATAGGCCTGGCCCCATCCCTGCATCACACGCAGGCCCCTTGTCCGAGTCCTCGCCAAACTCCCTGACTGGTTCCCTTTCGTCCTCGCTGTCCGAGACCTCTGCCCTCTGCACCGGCTGCTGGCGAATCACAACAATAATATAGAAGGAACAGTGGCGGATAACATTATCATGTTGAGTTATCCCATGTGGATTTCCCACAGCAAATTATCCCGAGGTGCGTTGGCCACGCCAAGATGGCCGCAGCAAGATGGCTGTGGTGAGTTGTCCTGGACCCCCATTCTCCATTGTTGCATTGTTTCTGTTTGGAAACAGGTGTGATTTTATGCTGACTACCAGAGTTTTCATGCTGCATTTGTACAGTTTCTGTTATGTTTTTCTAAAAGAGAGAGAAAAAGAAAAGGTATATCATTTCAGAGTCTTATGTTGAAAGGCCCCCTGAATGTGTATTAATAATTTTTGATAACGAATTAAAATCAGAAATCCATAGTGGTACAACCTTAATGAGGCCAAACTGACATTTATCATGGTTATAAGTTCATGGGGGTTATCAGAGTTTTTCTTAGGTAAAACACTTAGAATCCTGGAAAAATAAATGTAAAAAGTGGCGGTAGGCATTGACGCAGGTGCCGTCTGCTTGTGACACTGGTGGAGGTTTCATCGTTGGCTTGTCCGGCCTCGGGGCCAAACCTGGAAGAAGATAACTTCCCCTGAGCCCCCCTCATTGTTGACCGTGGCTGGAAAGGCTCGACCACAAGCACAGATGATGCTGACTTCTCTTTGTCCACTCATGGCAGGTTGATTCACAGGAGGGGCACTGTGGGGAAACCGGACCAGAAAGACCTGAATGAAAACATGGCTGCCACCCAAGGCCTCTCCCACATGATGGCCAACTGCAAGAAGCTGTTCCAGGTGCCACTTGCTTTCTTGCCTTGTTCTTTAGCTCAGGAGGCCTGGAGCTCTCAGAATTGTAGTCAGAGGGCATGACCTTGAGGGGCGGAAGGAGAGAGTTGGCGGATAAAGAAGACTGAGCTTGCCCCAAGTTCTCACAAAGATGGAGGGAGGGAGGGAGGGGTTGAGTCCTTTCACACCTGAAAAATTCTATTATTCAAGCTATACTATATTAAAGAGGTGGCTCTTTCTGGCTGCCTGCAATTTGGCAGTTCAAATCCCACCAGGCTCCAGGTTGACTCAGCCTTCCCTCCTTCCGAGGTTGATAAAATGAGGACCCAGATTGTTGGGGGCAAGAGGCTGACTTTGTAAACCACTTAGGGCTATAAAGCCCTGTGAAGCGGTATATAAGTCTAAGGGCTTTTGCTATTGCTATGCAATAAAGGTAATATTGATCCTATAGATGTCTGATCCACCTTAAAAAGGCCGACAAGAGGAGTTCTGGATGTTGCAAACCTAGAGGGGTTCAGACTGACTCAGATGATTTTTAAATTATTATTATTTTAAATATGCTTTTCTACTGCTTCCAACTTCAGTTTGTAGAATGGTTTACAGTAAAATAAAACAACAACAACCAAAACCACGCAAAATAAGAGTATACTTAGGATAGCAAATCAACATAAAAAGCTTCATGTAATCAAACACATTCTATCAAGTTGTTGCCAATACTTAGCAATCGCAAATATTTTCTCCAACATGATCTATCCCTAGTCTGATCTTTCAAGTCTAAAGAAAAGAAGAATTAGGGGTGACACAGCAGTCTTCCAGTATTTGAGGGGCTGCCCCAAAGAAGAGGGGGGTCAAATTATTCTCCAAAGCATCTGAGGGCAGGACAGGAAACAATGGTTGGAAACTCATCAAAGAGAGGAGCAGCCTGGGATGGAAGGGAAACTTCCTATCAGTTAGACACTTAGCCAGTGGAACAGCTGGCCTCCAGAAATCATGGGCGCTCCATCACTGGAGGCTTTCAAGAAGAGATTGGACAGTCATCTGAAATCGTATAGTTGGGTGGTCCCTAAGGTCCAAAAGGTTGGCGACCCCTGCTCTAGGAAAAATAGCAAGCACCAGAAGAATCTGTCTGGACAGGGAGAGCTTTGCCATCTGGTGTAAGCAGGTGTTTCTCCTCACTTGTAGAGTCACTCCAAGGATCCTCTTCTTTTCTCCAGATCCCCCACGATATGATACTGCAGCTCAGCAGCTCCTACCTGTTGGCTGAGGCTCAACCACTCTCTTTACCTGAGCTGATGGAGCCAAACCTGCAAGGAGAGATCCAGGATTCCCACCCAGCCTTGGAAGCCAGCATCCAAACCTTGCTGAAGGAGTCATCCGAGCGCTTCAAAGGCTGGATCGGCACACTTGGCCCCAAAAACACAGAGCTCTCGTGCAAGAAGGTAAGCGGGGAGGGGGGGGGCAAAGGAAGTCTTTTCAAGCTATTGATGTAACCCCCACCCCACTGGCAACCATTAGACTGTTTTTCTAGGTAGCCCTCCATGATAGTTGTGCATCTGTCTTAAGATGATTTTCCTGTTATTTCATCATCGGTTGGTTGGCAAAAATGCACCTTTTAGTAATTCCTTTTTCCCCATCCCTTCCTCATTGCCATTGTAAAAGGGAAGAAAAGGTGGGTTTCTCTGCACCTCAACTGAAGTGGGGCTGGGGGGGACGGCCGAAAGAGCGACCCCCACTACAAGGGAAGATGCTCTCAGCAGCGGCTGAGGCTAAGTACACACACTGGCCTGGGGTGCCAAAGCTTAGGGGTGCCAGTGCCGCCTCTCCTTCCAAATCCTTCTAAAAATGCCAATCTTCACATTGCAGGAAGTGGCACCATCAAACAGTCTGTCCAGGGCCTTCTCTTGATAGGTTTTCTCTTGAGTATTCCCATAGTTAGGCTGAACCCACCTTTGTCCTGTCTAAGAGCAAATACCCTTCAACACACACAAGAGGTGAATGAAACCTTCACCGCTGGTCCTTTGGAAGCAAGTTCTCAGTGACGGGGAGAGCATCAGCACAACCTACAAGATACCCAAGTGGGAAGCAGGTGCTCAAAGTCAAGCAAGATCTCCAGGTCCAAAGCAGCAACCGAAGAGGGACCCGGGCGAGGTCTGAGGGTCAACACACCCCAGAAGCTTCTGGGATTGAAAGCAGGGGATTTGGAGGTGAAGATTCGAGGCAGGCAAAGTCTGGGTTAGCGCATGGCTCTTTCCAGCAGGGAAGCTGAGGTTGGCCACTCTCCTTAAGGAGAGGAGGGCTCCTTTCTCACGAGGAACCTGGCAGAGTCCTTGGCTTTACTCTCTCCTCTGTGCCCTTGTGCCGAGGGAAGCGGCAGCTTGGACTTCTCATCTCCTGAGGCCGACAGCAGCTCTTCCTCTGGATGACACATGCACCACCATGTATGAGCTGTGGTGGCCCAGTGGTTAGAGTGCAGTACTGCAGGCTACTTCTGCTGACTGCCGGCTGCCTGCAATTTGGCAATTCAGATCCTACCAGGCTCCAGGTTGACTCAGCCTTCTCTCCTTCCGAGGTGGGTCAAATGAGGACCCAGATTGTTGGGGGCAAGAGGCCGACTCTGTAAACCACTTAGACAAGGTTGTAAAGCACTGTAAAGCAGTATATAAGTCTAAAGGCTATTGCTATTTCTATGACAGGCCCCAACTGACCTCAGGTGATGATTCATCCAGTAACTGTATAGTGCAGTGTTTGTGCAGTGTGAGTGGAGTGTGAAGGATGCCTGTTTGTGTTTGTTTTCATGGTCATGATGTGCACTGAAGATGGTGTTTGATTTCGTTGTATGAAGTGCAATGACAATAAAGTAAACGAAACGAAACTAACTCTGGGGCCAGATGCTCATGGTGGGCCTCCATCCACCAGCTGAGCTCAGCCTGGTGGATTTGAATGGTGGACACACAGTAAATCAAGATGCCCCACCTTCACCCACAGGTGCTCCATCCCAGTCCAGGTAGAGTCAAGAGGGTGAAATAACGTGTGCCCGGAGGCCCTCTTGGCTCCAGCTGCCTAGAACCTGCATGAACCTGCATGAACTGCCTAGAACCCCATGACTCATGGGGCACATGCAGGCCCTTGGTGGGATGGTGGGGGCTTTGTGAAGCCAATAGGCGAGGGCATTGTGTTCCTAGTTCCAAATTAAGAGGAATCCAATTCTTGGAGGACGTAAATGCAGAGGTTGGCTGGGTGGGTGCCTGAGGGACCATTTGTGTGTGTGTGTGTGTGTGTGTGTGTGTGTGTGTGTGTGTGTGTGTTCACTTCATGAGAGGGATCTTGAAATCTTAGTGGACAAACCAGCTAAATAGGAGCCAGCCGTGTGCAGCAGCAGCCAAAAAAGCTAACGCAATCCTAAGTTGGGATACAGAGGGATACAATCAAGTTCAAGTGAGGTCTTCATACCACCCTGTAAAGCCTTAGTAAGACCATACCTAAAGTACCGCATCCAGTTTTGGCCACCACACTATAAAAAAGATGTTGAGACTCTAGAAAGAGTGCAGAGAAGAGCAACCAGGATGATGAGGGGACTGGAGACTAAAACATATGAAGACCGGTTGCAGGAACTGGGCCTGGCTAGTCGAGGGAAGAGAAGGACCAGGGGTGACAGGATAGCGGTCTTCCAATACTTGAGGGGCTGCCACAGAGAGGAGGAGGGGGTCAAGCTATTTTCCAAGGCACCTGAAAGCCAGACAAGGAACAATGGATGGAAACTGAACAAGGGGAGATTCAACCTGGAAATAAGGAGAAATTTTCTGACAGGGAGAGCAATCAACCAATGGAACAGAAGTTGCCCTCGGAAGTTGTGGGAGCGTCATAACTTGAGACTTTCAAGAAGAGATTGGACTGCCATTTGTCAGAAATGGTATAGGGTCTCCTGCTTGGGCGGGGGTTGGACTAGATGACCTACAAGGTCCCTTCCAACTCTGATTATCTATTATCTGTTATCATTTATTTCCAAATTTGATATCCTATCTAACAGACCCTCAATGTGTAACTGTTCCAACCCAGGTGAAGTCCCCGAGAGCAAAAACAAAGATAAACTCAAAAACTGAAACGTTCTTGGCTTTATTCCACAAATACCTCTTTGTAGTTACCAGATGGCTTGCAGCCAAGTAATCCAATTAGAAAAACCTTCAAATAAATCAAAGTCTGTTATCATCACACTTAACCCTTCGAACGCTTTTTGACTTCTGCAAAGGCAAAAACCGTTTGCAACCAGGCTTATATCCCCTAGAGCAGAGGTGGGCAACTATGGCCCCTTTATGACTTGTGGACTTCAACTTCCAAAATTCCTGAGCTAGCATGGCTTGCTCAGGAATTCTGGGAGTTGAAGTCCATAATTCATAAAAGGGCCATAGTTGCCCACCCCTGCCCTAGAGGGAGGGGTCATTCCATTGCCTCCTTACTCCCGAGTCGCCTATGTAGCTTCAGCTGTTCCCTCCTCCGATCACATGCACTTGGCACAGGCTCCTCAGGAACCTCCTCATCACTGCTGCCAGCCCCCACCATCTCTGAAGGCAGCAGTCCACGCCCTGATGGTCCCGGCCCCTCCTCCGAATCCTCGCTCTCCTCCACCATCCCCTGCCGCCGGCAACCACAACAGTAACAGGAAAAGATGGACCAAAAGATATCTTGTTTCTGGAATGGTAGAGAAATATAGAAAAAAGAAAAAGAAAGTTCCCTCTTTCTAGTCAGGAGTGAACATAGTTTTGATTCTCGAAATCTTTCGGGGACATACATTTATTTGTTTATTTTGCCCACTTCATCTAAGTGACTCTCGATGGTTTACAACAACATCATAAAAATACAAAATGAAATTAAGACAAAAAGTTAAAACGTACAAGGTAAAACTGAAATTCAGAGTTTAAAATGCTGAAGGGGTGACAAGGCCGAGGAGCCCCCTCAAGCCCCCAGCTGTCCCCCTGCTAATTGGCAGAGCCATCTTAACCCACTCCCAGGAGGCAGAAGGTGGGGGCTGCCTCACCTCGGGGGCCAGAGGTTGCAAAGGGAGGGGCAACGGGGGGGAAGGCCCTCCTTCTAAGGGATGTCTAGGCAGCATTCAAGGGTTAAGGTTAGGGACACCTCCTGGCCCTAAGCAATAACCACGTCTTCGTGATACCCAGGTGGAGGACGGGCACCCCCTGCGGCTCTGGAAAGTCTCCACCGAAGTGGCAGCACCGCCTCAGGTGGTGCTCAAGCGGATTCTCAGGGAGCGGCACTCTTGGGATGAGGACCTGCTGCAGGGCCACGTGGTGGAGGCCCTGGACAAGAACACCGAAGTCTACCATTATGTGACCGACAGCATGGCTCCACACCCACGGCGGGACTTTGTGGTTCTCAGGTGAGGAACTCTAGGGAAACAAAATCTCCGTAAACAGGCCCCGTCTCCCATCTCCAGGTCTCTGATCCCATCGCTTCCCGCACTAATCCTTTGCCTAGATCTTTTGAGCTGGAGTTGAGGAAGCCCACGGCCTTTGGGGAGCAGCCGAGAGTCCCTGGGCTTCGTCCTTTGCTCTCTCATGCAACACTTCCAGGCTCTCCACATAGTTTGGGCTCATCACATAGTGTCCCAGCTCCCATCTGCCTGCTTAGTTTTTTAACTTGCTACTTAAGCCTGTTTCTCTCTTCCCCCCCCCCCCCACCATCAGTTCAGAGTTGCCACCTCGTTTTTCGGTGCTTCTGTGCCCAGTGATAAGTGGTGGCCAGGCTCTAGCCAGATTGATATTCAGCCTAGGTTCATTCAAAGTTAAAATCGGGTCTTTAGTATTACTTGAAAAGATGACTCTTTAAAACCCCAACTGGAGCAAAGCCATTGTACATTGTACTTGATTTTTGAACAAATTTTGTGCTGGCAATAATTCTGGCCTTTCTTGGGTTCCTGTTTGTCCTCTGAGCCCAAAGCAAGCCGCCTGGCTTCTACCCAAGATCTGTTCTTGCCCGAGGATCCCAGTAGCTCTCCCATCAGTTGCTTCACTGGGTAGCCTCTTGAGACAGGAAGGAGCAGACAGTTTTAGCCATACCTGAGCCAAGATCACCTTTTCCAGGTCATGGCGGACAGACCTGCCCCATGGGAGTTGTCTCCTGGTCGCCTTCTCATTGGAGCATCCGAAGTTGCCACTGGAAGCTGGAGTCAGGGCCACGGTGCTCACCTCCCAGTACCTGATGGAGCCTTGCGGAACGGGACACTCCAGAGTGACACACATCTGTCAAACTGATTTCCGGTAAGAATTCAAGCCAGCTGTTTATTGGCAGGGAGATGGGTATCCCTTGGACCTCTACCCCCGTAAAAGGGTTTGGCCTTCAGCAACACAACAAGCCAAGTCCGATCCAATTTGCTTAGCCATGGCAAGAGAATTTCTCAGTCCGTAGAGTGGCAATATCCATGTAGGTCTAACAGGATTTCTCCAAGTTGCTGCTATCCAGGCATGCTGGTTTCAGTGCCATAATTCCTACACTGGCTAGCTATTACTGAAGTTGAATGTGGAGAGCCACAGACTGGGGAATATTGTTTCCACCAGAGAGACAGGAAATACCTTCAGCTTAACCTATTGCTTTTCAGTCAAATCTGGAAACATGTGAAAATCTTGCTGTGCACAAATATTTCCCCAAGATAACCGATTCAAAGCAAGACCAGAATTTTGCATCTTAATTTAATTGTGGTAAACTTGGATTTCCTCTTTCAGTATTTGGTTTCTGCTTGTGCAGTAAAGGATAAAACCCAATCTCCCCTGCCCCAGATTGTGTCTGTTTGGGTGCTGGATTCCATTTATGCTTGCACAAAGGGAGGTTTTGGCTTGAGTGTTGAGACTCTAGAAAGCGTGCAGGGAAAATCAACAAAGAAGATTAGAGGGCTAGAGGCCAAAACAAGAAGAACGGATGCAGGGATTTGGATATGTCTAGTTTAGTGAAAAAAAATGACGAGGAGAGACAGGATAGCAGTCTTCCAATATTTAAGGGGCTGCCACAAAGAGGAGGGGACAAGCTATTCTCCAAAGCACCAGAAGGCAGAAAAAGAATCAATGGAAGGAAGCTAATCAAGGAGAGAAGCAACCTAGAAATAAGGAGAAATTTCCTGACAAAAAAAAATGAATGGGTGGAATGGCTTGCTTTCAGAAGTTGTGGCTACTCCATCACTGGAGGCTTTTAAGAAGAGATTGGACAGCCATGTGTCTGAAAGGGTCAGTGTCTCCTGCTGGAGCGTGGGATTGGACGAGAAGATCTCCAAGATCCTTTCCATCTCTCTGATTCTGTTGCTAATCCCCTGCTTTTTGCAATTCTAGAGGGAGGTCTCCAGACTGGTACAACAAGGTCTTTGGTCATCTCTGTGCTATGGAGCTGGTCAGGATTCGCGATTCTTTCCCAGTGTTCAATCTGTGTGGACCAGAAACCAAGATCTGAAGGATGCCACAAGACTTGAAGTTGGAGCAGAACGTTGGAATTGAGCCTTTGCTTCATGGGATACACCTTCCACCTTTTAATTTCCCTTTGTGCTTCTTTGTTTTAAGGAACACGAGATCCGGTCCCTCCTAACAAGCGTGTTCCTGTGTAAATGATTCAGCAACATGATCCAGAGGTTGGGAAGCTTTGTGCTGGGGGTTGCTTCTCCATAAATGATCTCCAGGGTTAGAAGAATTCTTCCAACACCGTTTACCAAAGGACACACTTGTGAAGAGGCTCCTGAGCTCCTGCCTGCTTTGGGGCTCTCCATTTGCCTCTGGTTATCGGGAGGACAAGACGTTAGATAATCTGGTCTGATCCTGCAAAATCCACCGTGGTCTTCTGGGAAGTCTACCAATCCACCTGTCAGGGACAGCCAACTCCGAAACCCCTTTCAAGGGTTAGTCTGCTTTGTTCAGGAGCAGACGTGGTGTTTGTTTATTGAACCAGATTGGGGGTTCAGGAACTGCCGCCCCACATCAAGACTAAGGACTGGATTTTCCTGCAACCTTTGAAAAATATCCTACTCTGATTTGAGAGGGTTGGGAATTGGGGAATCAGCATTAGGGCCCATTTCAGCACAAAATACAGCTTAGTCCTCAACTTGCAGCACTTCATTTAGTGACTGTCCAAAGTTACAATGGCACTGAAAAAAGTGATGTATGATGACCATTTTATTCTCGCTTATGACCATGGCAGCATCCCCATGGTCACGTGATTTACATTTGGATGCCTGGCAACTGACTCCCAATTATGACGGCTGCTGTGTCTCAGGGTCACATGATTCCCCCCTTTCTGCAACCATCTGATAAGCAAAGTCGAGCGGAAAAAACGTATTCCATTAACAGCCGTGGGACTAATTTAAGAACTGCGTTGATTTGCTGAACAAATGTGGCGAGAAAAGTCCTGAACTGGGGCAAAGCTCACCTAACAAATTTCTCACTTGGCAACAAAAATCTTGGGGGCTCCCTTGTGGTCGTAAGTTGAGGACTACCTGTACCTCCTTGCGGGTTTTGAATTGCCGTCACTATTTCCTTAGCAGGTAGATGCACCTGTGCAGTGCAACGCCTGGGAAGAACCAGGGGAGTGGCAGAGGGTGGAGGCGGAAGGAAGTCGAATGTGGCCAGGTGTTTGTCACGTTTAAGCACAAAGGAGAAAGGAGAAGAGAGCTGTGTGTATCAGAGGAGACTTCGGGGGTGGGAAGTTTTTAATGCTGCACTTGACCCAGAAACACACAGGGATAGAGCGTGTGTAGGAAAAAGAGCCAGAGGTTGCGTCTTGGTCATATGGCGCTGCTCTCTTTTCAGCCTGACTTCCGTCTCTTCAGCGGCTTAAGGCCAAAAGGGATTGCAATTATTCCAGACCTTTGTCCTCTTTCGTTTAGGTGGCGGGGACACCCTTTTTTTCCAGGAGTCTATTCTGCCAGCTAATAAGTATTCTCCAGTAATTATAAGGGCTGAAAATCAAGAGAATGGAGGAAAAGTTTGGAATATTCAGACTTCCCTTTTCTTTTTCCTTCAGCATAATTTAAGGTTCAGTCCAGGTACCTGAATCGAGGCTTGCGGGTTGTTAAACCACGTGAAATCTTTGAGTCTTAAAATCGTCCCAGGGAATTGAGGGTAATCTCTACTGTTTTGTGGCTCACATTTCACTTGATGCTAACTATTTTGGAGAGATGGAAGTCAGCCTTTCATGCTGCGGTTGGCAAAGAGAAGGATTAGGCCAGATTAACCAGTCGGCCTACGATCTTGTTCATCTTGAGTGTTTTAGGACTTCCGTCCTTATGGTGGGAAGTAGGAGAAAGGAAAAGGATGGCACTGGAACCGCGGGATTCCCTGGGCTGCTGAGGCCACAGGGAGATGGGGAGCTTTCTTCAGGCTCTGCTTCCAGACTCAGCATGGGTGTCGTGTTAAACTCACCACAAGTAGGAGCACAAATACAAGCCTGAACTTGGAGAATTTGACCATGAAGGGATTGAAAGCCAAGTATTAAAGCAATTATTTTGGAATTGACCCCCAAAGAAGGAAGTCCCTGAGAAATACCGTAGCCAGAGAGCATTCTGTAGCTCTCTGGAAAAGGTGTGGAAACAAGAAGCCAAGGCAGGGAAACAGCCAAACATCCTCTCCTTCCTATCACAGCCGGATTCTTGTAGGAATATAAGCATTCCTTTACATAAGACCGAACTTGCCACCTGAAGAAAGGAAGACTCAACTTCTGTCCAAAGGAGGTTGAAGAAAGACAACACTTGCCCCTTCTATATTAGCCCACAACATTTGTTCTAGTCCTAATTGCCACAAAATATTGGAGGGAATAGAAAGGATCATCACTCTCAGAGAGCTTTGTCTACTTGTAGCTTCCACGGTTGTGGCCATTTTTGTATCCCCAAACAACCTCCGTTCTAAACCTGATAAGCTGATTCAAACTTCAACAAACCTGGTGCTAGTGGTTGCCAGGCCACAACATCTCGAGATGCATGGTCCTCTGGTGAAAATCAAGCTGAGGCTCCAGCTTCAAAAGAGCCAGACCTTCCCTCCATCCCTTTCAATAGCCAGGGTGCTTGGAATCTGACACATTGGGAAGCAGCCATAAAGCTGCTAAGCAAGCTTCTAACCAGTCATCTCAAGCATAGACATCAGGCCTACTTCTTCACTAAGGCTTAAACAAATCGTGCCTTATCTTTCGTTAGCTGTATAATGTACAGAAAACCTTTAGGGTGGCAGAAACTCTGGCAAAAATAGGGTTTTCCCTTCCAGAAAGGACACCCCAGTCCAGCCCCTGATTCAGAGGTGCAACCCCCTCCTCTGACATTGACTCTGATTTGGATCCTGACAAACAAGCATTTGCTCACTTCTCCGGAGGGAAGTTGCTAGCTCACTTCTCAGATTTTGCTCTGGATTCATAGAATCATAGGGCTGGAAGGGAGCTTAAAGATCTTCTAGTCCAACTCCCTGCCCAAGGCAGGATCCTTATACCATCCCTGAAAAATGGTTGTCCAATCTTTTCTTGAACACCTCCAGCAACGGAGAACCCGCAACTCTGAGTGGGAAGTTGTCCCGTTGATTAATCAGTCTCACCGTCAGGAAATTCCTCCTAATTTCCAGGTTGAATCTCCCTCTGTCAGGCTTCCATCCATTGCATTTTGCCTTGACCTCAAGGTGTGATGGAGAATATATTGACACCCTCTTCCCTGTCAAAGCCCTTTAAGTATTGGAAGACAGGTATCATGTCTCGCCTGTGCCTTCTCTTCATTAGGCTAAACATGCCTAGTTCCCTTAGCTGTTCATTGTATGATTTAGTGTTCAGGCTCCTTATTACCTTCGTAGCTCTTCTCTGCATTCAGTATCCTTTTTATAGCGTGCTAACCTGAACTAGAGGCAGGATGTGGCCTTACCAAGGCAGTACAAAGCTCACTGACCCTTCTTGTGTGAACTTGATGCTATCCCTCTGTTGAAGAGAGAAGGTTGCTCTGTATTTGGGCGGGGGGAGGGGTGTCCTCTTGGGCAAGAGCACCATATCATTTGTCCCCTCTTTCTCCACTTAGCCATTCTTCTGACCTGCTAGGACCTCCTTTTCCATACTTCCTCTTAGATGCTGCCAAGGCCCATTGGAGGGGACACACACAAAGGGATGAAATACGATTACTTTGAACAGTAATCTGCAAAGAATTCAGCAGAGAACACTGACCACACCAATTAATCCATCTTAGATCCCCTCTGGTCACCTGAGTGAAATGGCAGCTTGGGGCTCCAAATTCTCAGAAGGAAACCAGTCAAAGAAAAGGCTGACAACCATCTGGCCTTCTTCATCCATCCAAGGTCATCCTCAGAATTGGATGAAGCTGCCAATCTTGAAGTCGGGAGCATGAATCCCAAAACACTCAGAAGCTACACGAGAAGATAGAAGTTGGCTAAGATCTCTCAAAGTCAGCACACCATACCAGAAAAGGCCACAGAGAGCCAGGAACCTCCCCTTGTATCTCCTATCTCCAAGCTGTCCTCAGTTATGTAGAGGGCTGATTTGAGATCCAGAATTCTCCATCGCCATTTTGATCCTTCAATCGTTCCAAATGTACATTTTGACCTTGGTTAATACTGGTCTGTAAGCATGCCGGTTTGTTCTTTAACCAGGGAGCCAGTTGATCAGACGGCCTTCCAATTGGAAGCAAGAAAACCTAACCTGTTAGAAATGTAGACGGGTGTTTTACAGCTGATTCAGTTATTCTTGCCAGTTTCCTTATGGTTTATATGGTTGATTATTTACGGGACTATTATTTTTTAATCATAAATGATATTTTCCTAACTAACTGTAAATATTGTATAGTTGAAATATTAATTTAATATATAAAGAGTGTGAGAGCATGTGAAATGAATGTACTCTCAGTAAAAGCTGTTTTCTATTTAATGAACGTTTTGTACAATTCTGCAGACTGTTGACTGGAGACAAGTTCCTCCTCTATTTGTATGACAAATAAAGACTAACAATTCCCAACAATTGGTTCAGAGACCATCTAACAAATCCTGAAGTGAGACGCCTGTGATTTTGTTTTTCATCTGACAATAGAGGGACACTTTGGATTTTAATTATATTTGGGGTTGAGTTCTTCCGCATCCGAACAATGAAAACCAAAAAGTTCATTTTTTTTTTTCAAAATTTGCTAATTATTATTAAATTCATCAAGACAAATTCAGAATAATTCTTGAAGGTCATGACAGCAGAGTCAACAAAATTGACCAAAGTGCAGACCAAAATGCTTTTGAGTCTATTAAAGTTACTCTTAAGGTACAGAGATCTTAGATCTCTTTCCGTGCCTAAAGAAATGTCTGTATTTGAAAGACCAATTTGAACTGGATTTATCAGTTAAATGTCTTGGGGTGATTGCACATAGCACTTCAATTTTAAAATAGTTTTTATATGATAATAGGGGCAGGTAAGGGAATGGGCTTGTCGGGTGGAAAGCCAGAAGCCCAGGTTTGAGACTTGGGCTCCATGCATGATGGGGTGGGCTGCCATCCTTACCCCAGCTCCTGCTCACCTAACAAATCGAAAGCATGCAAACGCCAGTAGGTAAATAGGTACCACTTCAGTGGGAAGGTAACAGTGCTCCATGACATCATGCTGGCCATATGACCATAGAAATGTCTTTGGACAGCACTGGCTCAATGGCCTTGGAACAAGATGGAGCATCACCCCTAGAGTTGGCAATGACTAGTGCAGTAAAATTTGCAGGGATTCCTTTTTTACCTTTATACAATAACAGACCACCTGTGTCCCATTGGCTCATCATTTCAGAGATATTTCCTTATCTAACTAGAGCAACAAAACGACCAGGGCTGAGTAGAATTTCAGAGTAACAGAGCCTTGGAAGTCTTTTGGCCCAAAAGCAGGAGACTTGCACCATTCCAGACAAATGACTGTTTAATCTCTTCTTGAAAACCTCCAGCCATGGAGCACCCACAATTTCTGGAGGCAAGGCGTTCCATTGATTAATTGTTTTCATTGCCAGGAAATTTCTCCTTAGTTCTAGGATGGATCGCTTCCACCCATTATTTCTTGACCTGTGCTTTGAAGAATACTTTAAACCTCTCTTCTCTATGATAGGCCTCAAATATTGGAAGACTACTATAACCCCTCATCCTACTCT